CCAAATCGTGTATGACAACAGAGAAATGAGGGTGCATTAACATTCCTTCCTGAAATACAATGCTGAACAGTGAAAGGCATTCAGCCATTCTGCTCCTCTCTGCTTCTCTGAAAATTTAAAGCCCATCACAGTTTTCTGTCCTCAATGCACCACAAAGATTGATGCACCATTATTTTAAAACTATAACTTGTTTCTTACCTGGATCCAGATGAGTTTTTATCATTGGCCATCACAATAGCAAATTTGCAATTTGGATTTCCAGCTCCTAAGAGACAAAAAGAGATAAGACTTCTCAGTGAACAGTTTTAGAGCTGTAAGTCTTGTTTGGCAATTACTGATATTCAAAACTTGCTTTCAAATAAACAAGTGTCTTGGGTACAATGGCTCTGCTAGGAGGTGGTATGGAAAACTTCCTGCCTGTGATCCTAGAGAACTGTTGCCAGTCAGAGCTGAAAATACTAAGTTAGAGCCTGACATGCTGAAAGTGCATGGAAAAGTTACTTGTTTGGACTACAGTTTCTAAAATTGAAAAAGTGAAATTTCAAAATTCCATATAAGGCAGCAGCCTAAGTCCTTTAGGCAGAAATCCAGGAGCTCTTGTTGCCCAGCACTTATCCACAAAACAGACAAAGTTGAATTATTTATATTTCAACTGGCTTAAGTAAGTTATGGATCCATCCATTAGTACACTTGAAACCTGCTACACTTTTAAAATAAAGATCTGAATAATGCATATAATAATTTACATCTGTATTTAAAAAAATCCATTTTTAAGATCATAACCTAGTGGCTAACACCTGTGATCCTAAAATGGGTACTAAAGGATGGGAAAGGGGTATTCTAAATGATGCCAGGTGCTTATTCTATGGCAGGGATGGAAAAACTGTGGCCTTCAAGATGTTGATGGACTCCACCTCCTATTATCCCTCAACATAGGTTATGCTAGCTAGAATTGATGTGAAGTGGACCAACAGCATTGAGAGGGTTTCAGTTCCCCAATTCATGTCCTATGGACTGCATTCATCTGTCACTGTAGCTCCATGGAGACCAGGTCTTCTCACCTTATTATTATTATTATTATT